CTTTGCGAAGCCTAGAATTTCAAGTCTAAGATGTAGTAATTCTCTTATATAAGAAATACCAGTATGTTTTTAAGTTAGGTGTGGTGGCACATCCCTGTAAGGCAGCATTTGGGAGACAGGGGCAGGAGATCAGGAGTTCAAGGTCAGCCTTGGCTTTATAGTGATATAGTGAGTTTCGGGCCAGCCTTGGTGACCTGAAACAATGCAATAGGTATTTTTTTTTTAAAGGAACTGCTTATTCAAAGTCAGAGGGAAAGAAATTCTGAGACATTTTTTGTCCTTAGCATCAACAGGAAACTGTCTACAGTTACTATGTTATTGAAGGATCAGGGTTTGGACCTGGGTTTGGATTCCATTGTGGACATTCAGAAGGGTTCCTTGGACTCATGTGATTATGAATGTACTTCCTGAGCTGTATTCATATTCTCCTATTCATTATTTATGCTATTTTTTTCTTGAGGAAAACTGCACTTCCACTCCTTAATTTTACTTTTTTTTTTTTTTTTTTTTTGAAACTGGATCTTATTATGTAGCCTTGCCTGGAACTTGCCATGTAGACCAGGCTGGCCTCAGGTTCACAGAACTTCTCCTGTCTCTGCTTCACACACTGTCTCTACTCCTAAATTTTAATTTACCTTCTCTACCTAGGTAATTTCACTTCAGTGCAATATTTATGAAGCCTTTCCATGTGCTAAGTCTTAAAATGGGCCCTTTACCTTTGTCCAGTTGCCATATCTACAGACGTAAAGTAGTCTGCAAACCAGTCAATGCAGCTATAAGTAGAAAATAGTCTACTCCTTAAAAATTTTGTCATTGTATCAAACAGGATATTTTTCTTTTATGAAAAAGCAATTATCAAATAATAAGTTATTCCACATTTACTTACTAATTTAATTTTATTTGGCACTAGCTTATGGACATATGGTGTATAAAAGCATATTTCTACAAATAGGTTGTTTGGTATATTGTGTCAGTATTCTGACATTCAAATCATATATTCTCTAACTTTTTAAAATTAAGTAAATCCTGTCATAATTTCTTATTCATGACTCGGTTTCAGTCCCTAATTACAAAACAAATGGCTTGAATCTTATCAGTTTGCTGACATCCTTCCTCACTTCATTCTGTGTGGCTGCTCTCACTGTAGAACGTTCTTAGGCTGTCACTTAGGAGGTATGCTTTATGTACCTATATGCCTCTTTTGCTTTCTAAAAATGCACTTGGTTTCTATAGCCTGTGACAGGAATAAAAATATTCAAAGCTTGCCACCCCTCGAATGAAAGACAACAGTCAGGCCTTGTTTTTCAGGATTGTTTAGACTTCCACTTTTTCTATGACGTACACGTGTAGATTATTTAAAATCACAGTGTTTATCAAGGCTTCAGATACCCCAATCTCTAAACTCTCCCTCCATTTTAAAATTAGGAATAAAAATATAAAAAATATGAATTTCATTATATGGGATTTTTTTTTTTTTGTCTTTTTTTGAGACAAGGTTTCCCTGTAGCCCCCAGATGTCCTGAAACTCACTGTGTAGACCATGCTGGCCTTGAACTCACAGAGATCCGCCTGCCTCTGCCTCCCAAGTGCTGGGATTGAAGGCGTGTGCACCACACCTGGCTATATGGAATGTTTTTTAAGGAGGAATTAGTTTTTTGTTTTTTTTGTCAAGGTGGCAACTTTTGGAAAATAGAATTTCAGCTGAGTCTCTTTATCCTTTTTTGGGAGTGTGTGTGTTACACAACCTTGTATAGTCCTACTTCTGACTTTAAATCTTATGGAAGAATAATGAATCAAAGCAATAAACCATCAATGCATATCTGGGGGTGGTGGTCCACACCTGTGTTCCTACTCCTGGGGATGCATTGACAGAAGGGGTAACAAGTTGAAGCCTTGCTTGCCTAGCCTGGGCTACATAACTAGAACCTGTCTTTAAAAAAAAAAAACAAAATAAACAAAACAAAATAAAAACCTCAATGTAAGAGTTGGTGCATATTTTTTCCCCTTAGTGATATTCTGAGATCAAGTTCTGGGCATTAAATGTCCTAAAGATGCTCAACAGTTACAATTTCAAATAATTTTTTTAATGCAGTGTGCTGTGCTGATTTGGTATGAGGGGCATTCAGTGAACAAGTGTTTCCTGTGCACCTGCTGTGTTCAGGGCCTCAGTCATGCTTACTGGAACCCAGAGCTGAGGAGGTGGCTAGGGGAGGTGTGACGTTAGGGTGTAGGAGGGTATTGTACAGATTTTGTCTAGGCCTTTATTTCTTCTAAATGGGCTTTCCTTGTAAATGACTTCTAGGGGACACTGCTGTTTTGTCACTTAACCTGTGCACTTGTAGAAAGATGCAACTGCTTGCAGAATTTCCCCTGTTGATCTGCCAGTGAACAGTTCACATGCTTGTAGCTCTATGTTGGTGGGTCTTTGAGATTATAAATGCTGTGGAATGCAGGATCCTGGGGAGTTGCTGTCCTAGCTAAACACCTTACAGGGGTGTCAGCTGATACGACTCTTACCCCAAAATCCCATGGTTACTAGAAATGTCCTGGCTTGGGGTTGGGAGAAGGAGACAGGGAGCAGCCAGTTCTGTGGCTTCAGGCTTGCTTTACGGTTGGTAAGAGATTAAGAGCAAAACCCACAGACACCCCCCGAGCACCATGGTATACTCTAGGCTTTCAGGACCTGGGAGGATTTCGTGGCAAAGTCATCTAATTGCTAGTCAAAGAACTCCAATTACTCAGTAACTAAGAACAGACATTTTTTGAGAGCAGTAAGGCGGAATAAAACGTCTGGCTAGAGTGAATAAAAGCCAGTGTTTTCCAAATCAAGTATAATAATTTCTTTCAAAGGTATACTTAACAATTCATTCCTATAAGGAATGCTTAAAAGAATTTTGATTATATGGTTCAAAGTTTGTCTGAGACCTTTGTTTAAAAACACTCTTCAGGCAGAGTGTAGTGGGACACATCTGTAATTTCAACACTTCGGGGTAGAGGCAGGAAGATCAGGAGTTCAAGGCTAGCTTGGGCTAGTGTCTCAACAACAAAAACAAAACAAAAACAACGAAATGTTAGCAAGTTAAAGTAAAAACTTTCCACATTCCTGTGTCTGCCTTCTTTCCCTGACTAACCTGCCTTCAGTTCTAATTTCTTTGTGTGTTGTGTTTGCTTTTTTCAGATGTCATTTAAAAGTCTTAGTCCCTAAACCAGTTTCTAAATGACCCCGAGGAAGTGAGAGTTCAGCCCCACATATGAAGATATGAGAGTTTGTTTTTCTAGGAATATTTGCTTCTGTGACACTCGGTCTTCCTTATCAGTACTTCCTGATGGGAGTGTGGAATCTCCCAGTTTAATGAGATATGTCATTTCTAGCTAGGGCTGGTGAGTGCTTTGGTTTGGTGTGGACAGTAATCCACAGGAGTGGTATTCCTTCAAGAACTCACTTGGTGAAGAGGTAGAAGGAAGCATGTGGCCCCAGTCCACACTTTTGCCTGAAAAAATTGTTTACATTTTTTTAAGGAAACGCCCTGTGTCTTTTCTTTTTCCAATGCTGAGAATTTAATCCAGGGCCCTCTGAATACAAGGCAAGTAATCTACCACTGAGCCTAAACCCTGGGACACAATGTGTTCTTTAAATGCAGACAGTTCTAGTGACTGCCTATTGATAGGTGTGATCTTACTAATACTTGTTATTATGTATGTATGTATGTATGTATGTGTGCATGTATGCATGTATGTGTAAAATGAACTTTAAGATTGAAAAGAAAATGCTCCTTAATGTTTTTGATGGTTGCCTAATGCTGTGTGTTCCTTAAATTCCCAAATGGACTTTTGTAGGGATGAGGGGAAATGCGTAGAAGGAATTCTGGAAATCTTTGACATGCTCCTGGCAACGACTTCAAGGTTTCGTGAGTTAAAACTCCAGCACAAAGAATATCTCTGTGTCAAGGCCATGATCCTCCTCAACTCCAGTAAGTAACCACAGAGCTGGACTGCGTGCTTTGCTGGGGGGAGATTACAGAACTGGTGTGGTATTACAGACAGTATTCAACCTCTGTTTTATTTTCAAAGAGGACAATGGCTTCCTTTCTGATGTCTCCATTTTTATTTATTTTTTTTTTTCTGGGGATTTAGACTATAGTTAGCTTTCAGTAACTTGAATATAAGTTATTCATTAGGTGAGCTGTTGGCAGTTGATTTATAAAGCGGCTTTGGCAACTTGCTGAAAAAGAATGAATTATGAAGTATTTACCTTTCACCTTTCTTCAGGCCAGACACAGGCATTTTACATGGTTGACATGTGTTATCTGTATCAGTATTTTAGATTATTTTATTCATTTGTTCAGTAAATTCACTTGGGTCACAGTCCTGTCCTTAAGTAGCTTATGCTGTCGGGAGAGAAAGCAAAGTACGAAAAAATCATGATCTTGGTGCTGTAATGAGGTATACACACAGTTCTGCAGGAGAGCAGTCGGGGGTGGGGGGTAGGGCTGCAGAACACAATGCCGAGGTTTGCAAATGGCTGCCTTGGGCACAGGGCAGGCATGGAACAGTTCACGTGGGGAGTGTGGGGGAGTGTCTGGGCACAGATGTGTGTTACAGAAGGCCACACCCACTTTCATGGGGAGGATTGACTGGGGTGAGAAGAGACTGAGGCAAAGGTGTCCTTAAGATGGCAGGAGCCTGAACAAATGTGGTATGTCAGCAACAAGGGAAGGGGCCTGACTTCAGAGATAGGACATATGAAGGAAATGGCTGAGATAAGTGGATGTTTCAGTTTTCTTGTTTTTTTTTTTCCTTATGTAAACAATATGTGGTAATTGAGAATATTTAAACAGAAGAAAACCATACAAGGAAGATAATACCAATCACCAGGGGTACCCCTTTAACAGATAACCAGCATGACTTTGGTGACCATAGATAATAGAGGTCTTTCTTTTCCCTCTCTCCCTCCCTCCCTTCCTCCTTCCCTCCTCTACCCCCATCAGTATCCATGGGTATCTATTCCAGGACCCAAATCAATGGATGCTAAAGTGTCTCATATAAAATGGAGTTGTATTCACAAATATCCCATGTATATTCTCTTACATTCTTGAAACCACCACCAGGTTACTTCTAATACCTCACCCAATGTGAATGCTGGGTACATAGTCGTTATACTTTATTGTTTAGTGAATGACAAAATGGTGGGCATACGCAGGGCTTTTTGAGGGATTTTGTGGAACTGGTGATCAGACTAGAGCTCATGCTAGGTAAGTGCTCTCCCACAGGTAATTGTGTACACAGCCCCAAGCCAATATAACAACAATAAATTACTATGAAAATACAAGCCTGGTTTATAATATTATTACCACATCCAGCTGACTTAAAAATACTGTCAGTGGCTGCAAGAGTTCCTGAATGCTTACTTTTTGTTTCTGTCACCTCCTTGTGGACTGGAAGAGACTGGAAGAGAGCATAGCATGCTGTCTGGGCAGTGGTTGGGTCTAGAGTGGGGAGTGGGCTAGGGATTGAAGAAAAGGGTGAGGAGGGATGGAGGAGGAATCTGAAGGACCAGAGACCCTAAAGACAACCTTGGGTACTGTGATGGTTGGTCTCGATGTCAACTTTGCATAAATTAGAATCACCTGAGCAGGGAGTCACAGCTGAGGAATTGTCCTGGTTGCCTTAACTGATGTAGGAAGACCCACCTCATCTGTGGGCAGCACCTTCTGTTAGCAGCCCAGATAAAAGGCAGGGCAGAAGGAAGATGATTGGCCTTTTGCTCCCTTGGCCTGCCCTCTCACCACTGAGCTGCTCTTCCCTGCTGTTGTGGCCGATTCCTTCGCCGATCTCACAGCCAGCATTTCCAGGATCCATCACTGATTAAGGACAAGAGACTCTCCAGGAAATTTCCAGGTTTTCAGTGCCAGATTGGGACTGCTGAGACACCCAGCCTCATGGACTAAGCAACTACCGGGTTCTTGGCCTCTCCTGTGTGAGAACCCCACTGTAAGACGGCTCTGACTGCTGAGGCACCCTCCTAGCCTCAGGCGTGAGACAATATAAGCTAATTTAATAAATTCCTTTTTTATATTTTATTTATTATTTTTATTTTATGTGTATGAGTGTATTGCCTGCATCTATGTGAGTGCACCCGTGTCGTGCAATGCCACAGAGGTCAGAAGAGGGCTTTGGATTCCCCTGGAACTGGAGTTAAGGATGGTTCGTAGCCGCCCTGTGGGTGCTGGGAATCGAACCTGGTCCTCTGCAAGAGCAGTCAGTGCTCTTAACCACTGAGCCATCTCTCCAGCCCCAATAAATTCTTTTGACATATACATTCATCATCTTGGATCTGTTCCTCTAGAGAATGCTGACTACCACAGTACTTCTAGTTGGGCCACCATCTGACCTCCCTGCCTAATAGGCATTTCCCTGACTCAACACACCCTGCTGTTTATGGTTACAGCTCACCTTTTACAAAATAGCGAGAGCGCTGCTTCCACTGATAATTAACTAGATGTCTATGTAGGAAATGTCCAGCCAGGACATTTTCAATCTGCCTGCAGAGGATGACCCCACTTCTGTCTTTGTTATGGGGGAGCTGTTTGCTTAAAAACCTCATTAGTGGAGGCCATCCAATGCCAGATTATGGGTCTCGTCCTACTTTCTGGGAGAATCTAGAATTCTTTCTGAGCTGCCAAGTGCTGCTTGGAAAGCAGTTTGTTGTCACAACACTTTACAGTGAGAAGCCTTCTGTTTGACATGGCTCTGCACAGCCATTTGAGCCTCCTTGACGTCAGCTTGTGCTATTGTCAAAACTCAAAGCAGCATCTGTGCAGATGAGGCTCCAGCCTTCCTTCTGCAGCATCTGTGAGAGCTTGGGAGCATCACAGACAGCAAGGGGCACAGGATGTGATTACCACGCCTGACAGATCATTCAAATTTGTTTATGGTAAATCCAAATTTTAGAAATAGTTGCAGAGAGGCTGGAGAGATGACTCAGCAGTTAAGAGCACCAGCTGCTCTTGCAGAGGACCCATGTTTGGTTCCCATCACCCACATAGTGGCTAACAGCTGTCTGTAACTTCATTTCAAGGGGTGGGGAAATCCAATGCCCTCTTCTAACCTCTGTGGGCATTGCATGCATAGGTGCACTTGCATACGTCCATACAAAACATTCATCCACATAAAATATAAATAAATAAATAAATAAATAATAAATAAATAAAAACTTTACAGAGAGTTGCTTGCTTGGTAGTCACAGCGAATGGAGGTACTCCATGTGACACGGCTGTGGGGATTGCAGTCTGTTTCTGATGAACAATTCTGCTGTTGGAAGAGGTGAGCGTTATGCTAGCTTGAAGAATTTGCCAGAACAGGCCTTTCTCTTCTGGATTATTTGTGGCAATTTTTTAAAAAAACAAGCAAAACAAAAACACAAACCAACAAAAGCAAAACAAAGTAGGTACAGACTCTATCCCCCAACACTAAATAATAGTCAAAAAGACCAGACTGAATAGATGTAAAACAGACATTGGAGTAAAACACCACACAGGACTGTGATCTAGAGAAAAGACAGACAAGGTGAGACTTTGATTGTCCTGTTTGCTGCCTAGAGTCAGTTTTTACAGAAAAACAAGCAATGTGATGGATGAAGATAGATATTGGATATAGATAGAGGACGAGGGATTTAGCATGAAGGTTGACAGCTGAGAAGTCTCATGGTACACTATCCACACACTGGAGGGAGACCCTGGGATGCCAGTGGCCTGGCTCAGTCTGAATGCAAAGGCCCAAGAACCATGGGAGCGGACAGTGCAATCCTCTCTGCCCAAAGCAAAAAGCCTGAGAAATGAGGGGACTACTGGCATATGTCCCAGTGTCCAAGGGCAGGAGAAGAGGAGCATCCCAACTCCAGGAGATGGAGACCAAGAGCGACAAGGGACAGGAAGAAGGGAAAAGAGAATTCACTCTTCCTCTGCCTTTTTTTAAATCTCTGCCTTCTCTCATCAGGATGATCCTCATTCACATTGGTTGAGGGCAGATCATCTTGCTCAGCCTCCTAATTCAATGATGGTTTGTTCCAGAAACATCTCACAGACATACCCAGAAACAATGCTTTACTCGCTACCTCTCTGGGTATCCCTTATTCCACTTAAGTTGCCTTCGACAATTAACTGTTGCAAGGACAAACCCAAATGGAAATCAGTTTCCTGGAATTGGGTAGCCAAGGCAGCTAGTACAGGGGAGAGTACTTGACAGGAAAAGGGCTGCACACAACTCCTCAGGGGTCTGTAGGTACCGTACCCCTCTTCAAGGCTTCAGCTGAGTGCTCATCTGCTCACTTTAAAAAAGCTGCTACGTGAGTGCAGGGGAAAGGATCTCTGAAGTTCACACAGGTTGAGAAACACTTCATGTTCTCACCAGACAGTGGGAAAAACTTTATAATGTCTTGGACATTGGCTATAGTACTCAGAAGACTGTTGCTATAATAATGGGGTTAAAAGCAAGCCCGAATCCTCCAAATACTGTGAAGTAATTTAACAAAGTAAGCAGAAAATTCAAGAATATTTATAGGAATTCTTATATAACATGCACAAGGTCTAGATTTCTGACTTCAGCACTACAAACCAAACCAGCAAGGGCTGGGGCGGGGGCGTGTAGCTCGGTTGGTAGAGTGCTTGCCCAGCATGTAGGAGGCCCTGAGTTTGATCTCCAGCACCTCCCCCCCAATGCAAATACAGACAGGAAAAAACAACAATAAAGCAAAACTCCCCAGTAATAAACAAAAAGAACTTAATGCTATCCAGCGCTCAAAAGGTAAAAGCCACAATACCTAAAACAAGTAATCGAAAACCATAAGCATGCAAAGAAAGAAAAAATAATCGTGTTCTCTAGTGAGGGGGAAAACTGCAGGATAAAATGGATGAAAGAAACAGTATACAGTGCTGTCATGACAGCATGTTCCATATGGAACACATGAGCAGGA